GATACAGGGAAGATTAGCATGGCCCCTGCGCAAGGATGACACGCATAAATCGAGAAATGGTCCAAAAGGAATTGAAAGATGATGGAAGATGGTGAGGGGGCGGGCGGGAGGCGCGGGTGCGAGCGCACTCCAGCCTAGCGCTACAGATTCGGCAGTATCGGTACCATCGACTCGTCTCACCCGTACGTTACGGGGTGACGAGAGCTCTTTCAACCTTCGCTGTTTCCGGCTATGCCGGCAGCCAACCCCCAACTAAGGGAGGGAGGGAAGGGAGGTGAGGACGGTGGCCTGAGGCGTTCTTCGCAGCAAATTTGAGAGTGTAACAACGTGACGAGACGTGGCGCTCTAGAAGCGCGCATGTCTAGGGTATGGTCTTAGTAGGAAGGGAGTGTAAGAGCCTTTGGAACGTTATCGGTGAGCCATGTCGGATGCACCAGCTCTTCCGCAGGGTCAACGCATGCAGGATGAAGAAGCAGAAAGAGTGCGAGTTCTCATGGAAAAATGCTATGATGATGGCATCTTCCCAGAGAACATAGGAAGGGAGATTGGTAGGGCCGAATTGCATGACGACTATGGTCTTTTCATTTTGGACGATGATATCGATGATTTAATTATAGGTTGGTTGAAGGAGAGAACGGTTATTGTCATCTTCGAGGTCAAGGATCAAACTCTAACCCTGTCTCACACGGAGCAACTGCTGCGTATTTATGAGGATGGTTGGTACCGTGATCCAGCAATGAACCCGTCTGGAAAGCGTGGGAGAACTCACGGAGAAGGTCCAAACGTCATGTCTTACGTGGCAAGGTCAACAAAAATTGCCCAGTGGATGACGTCACTTGGAACTGCGGAAATTCCATGTAGAGGTGGCAGTTTCAAGGTGCTTTTCAAGCCGTGGTTGACAAGAGCAGAGCTGGATCGAATGCGGAACGAGGAACAGGCTTCAGGTTTCTGTCTGATAGCTCTCCGAGTGCCTTTGGTAGCGATGTTCTCGTTGCAGAGAGCGGTGGGGCAGAATTTTGGTCCCGTACTGAAGATGCACCCTCCAGATAAGAAAGAAGGAGAGCCCTCTTTGGGCAACGTGAAGATTGACTGCGAACCAAATGTTCGAGACTCCTATAGAGACTGGCTATATGTACGCAGTAAGGATGGGGATGACCTGGAGATCAGAATTGCGACGCAGGATTCTCCTTTCTGCAACAAATGCCTTTGGTGGTTTCACACCGAAGACGATCCGGACTTCCCGCGCTTCAATGAAGAAATGCCAGCAAACAGGCAAGGTGGGCGAGGGAGAGGAGGGAGGGGTGGATGAGGTGGAAGAGGTAGAGGGAATAAAGGAGGAGGGAGAGGTCAAGATCCCTCGGGCTCTAACCAACCCCCCCCCCCGGGACCCGCCTCTTCATCACCATCAAAGGGCCAGCCGCTGCTCCATGCGCAGGGAGGTCAACAAGACCCGACAGGAGAAAGACAAAACCACTCAAGATCAGGAGGTGGAGGACAACACCATGGGAACTCACAACAACAAGGAGGGAGTCAACATCAACAACAAGGTCATCACCAAGGGGGAGGGCAAAACCAAGGAGGAGGACTGTACCAAGGGGGAGGAGTCATGAGTGGAGGGCAATACCAAGGAAGGAGCTCCTACCAAGCGAGTGGACAACATCACGGAGGAGGAGGTCAACACCTAAGTGGAAGAACACAAGACCCGCAGAAGCAACACGCAGGGCAACGGGGGCCTTTTCAAAAGTATCAACAACAACATCAACCGAGGGTTTCGCCGAGTAATCAGTCGATTGGCCTAGGGGAGCTGGAGGCGAGAGGCAGACAGGCCCAGGAACAGGGTAGAGTTATGACAATGATGCCTCATCAGACCTTCTCTGAGGGCTGCGTCAATAATGACTCATGGAGATCATCGGCGTCGCAGCCCCAATTTTTCGGAAGGCCAGGTGCAGCACGCCTAGGCTTTAACGACCTTCTTGGTCAAGGTTTGAACGGTCTCAATTCATCAGTGGTAGGTAATTACCATACATCGACCCCGCTCCCGTCAATAGGAGGTTCAAATCTACCATACGGTATAGCTAAGTATGGCACCGCAACGACACCCCACCTAGGGATGCACAAATAGAATCTGGGTTGTGGAGTTGTACCACTCGTAGGACACCCTAATTATGTTACATCGCACGCGAATCCTGATTTTGAATACTGTCCACATCCAGGGGTTAGCCCTATTTCAACACCGATTAGTAGTAGCTTCTTCAAATCTACTACCTCTGATTGGGGCAATCACAACTCCCTATTGTCGAGAGCTCTTTCTTCAGGCGATGGTCTAGGCTCAATTTTCATCCCTCCGGTGAACAAGGAAAGCTCTAGTGGAATCCTGCATGAGGCTGTCCAGGGATCGGGTAATAATCAAGGAGACACTCACGGAGGTCTATTGCAACAGGGCACGAAACAGAGAAGCACTTACGTAAATGTCTCCAGATTGTGAAGGGCGACGTAGGAAGCCCCCCGTAAATCGAGGAGGGTGGGTGCAGAAGGAGAGGGGGAGATTACGAGAGAAGAGGAAGAGGACGATATCGAAATAAGAAGCATGGCATCGTCTCTCTCTCTAGGAAAAGAGTCTGGGCAAGCAGGGGGCACCTGCCCCCCAACGAAGGAAGTAGGTCTTTGCAATAAGTCGAAACCAAGTCAAGCTGTCATCACCACTAGCTTTCTGGTCATCTTAGGAATTACAAATTCTTCCCAAGACCTGAAATTGATAGCCCTGCCCTCGGACGATGGATCTTTCTCCCTGCCAATGATATCTATATCTGTTGCTCCCACCACTCGTTCCATTCTGCTCCCCTCACTGGTATCCTTCTTTGGCACAAGGTTTCGTCATCGCTTGATTCCCGGAATTCGTTTGGGGAGAAAATCCCGAAAAGTGTCGGAATCCCAGTCAACCGCCTTCTTTATCGCAATAGTCGACTTGAAACAGTCGAAGGAAGTGGAGGGGGAATGGGGAAAAGAAGGGGGGAATTGGATTCCGGCAGACTGGTTTGCTTCAACAGACTCTCCGGAATTAACGAAAATCATTCTGCAACAAGGAATCGATGGCCGCTTGATCGCAGAGTTCTGTGCCTCTTTGCCAAGTGACAGACAATTGATGTCGCCCGACTTGAGGAATGTCTTAAAAACAGCTTGGCTGGAAGCTCATACAGGAACGACGAGCACGACACCGAGAAGAAGAAAGAACGACAAAATGGAGAAGACATACCATATCCAATCAGGCTCCCGGTCGCAGGAACAGGCAACATGAGCAAGCTCAAGATAGCCACGTGGAACGTTCGTGGTCTCGGAGACTCAAACGGCCGCCAGAAAAAATCAAGATTCAAAACTTGGGTACACGAGGAAGGAATTAATATTGCGCTCCTACAAGAAACCAAATTAAATGAAGATAAGTAAAAGAGACCCAACGTTGGTGGACAGGGCCACAATTCTGGGCGCCTGCTCAGGACTCAAGAGGGGGGGTAGCAATACTTATCCACAGGAAACTGAATCTGGCCATTTTAGAGCACCTAGAGGATCTTTGGGGGAGGTGGGCGTGGGTTTCCTTTAACTACGAAGATAAGGTTTGGGCTGTAATGTGAATATATGCTCCGACAATTTACGGTGATCGTCTTTCCTTCTTCTCAGAATTACCACATCTGTTTCCAGAAGTTGAAAACTTGATTGTGGGCGGTGACAAGAACACGTTGTTGAATCCCGGACTAGACTCGCCAAAACCCAAGAACACACGGACGGACACCATCGAACTCTTATCCATTATATTGATAGTTCCGTACCGGGTTTTTAATCCCTCGGAACCTGGTTATACCTGGCTATCTTGCCAACGTTTCCCGGATAGGCTAGCCCCTCGCAGACGTCTTGACTATTTTTTAGTTAGAGTTGAAGCCTGGGAAACTTTAATAGAGATAGATCTGCACCCACAGATTTTGTCTGATCACAGACCTATAGTGGCACAATTTCAGATGTCCGGGTCAATCCAAAGAGGAAGAGGAATTTTCTGTTTAAATACGGATAACCTTCAGATCAAATCGGTTAAGGATTGGTGTATTCAGCACCGGAAGGACTGGGAAAAAGCTAGGAATATGTTTCCCTCTGTGAATGAATGGTTTGATGTCGGGCTTCGGATTACTTCGAAGGCAACGGACGCCTTTTCCTGGATCCTGGCTTATGGACGGCACAAGGACGAAGACGAGTGCAGATCAAAGATACAGGAGGCAGAGGGACACTTCGGGGAACACCCTGTTTCGGGCACCTATTGGGAACATGAGCGGGACACGTGGATGAGAAGGTGAGAGGAATTGGAAGTTCGAAAGCAAGAAAGATGGGCTAGGAGGGTCAGGAAAAAAGGGATGTTACAGACGGATAGGATGACAAAAGAAACTTTTCGACGTCTCCTCCCGCCAAAGTACCATACGACGCTGAGGGAGGTGGAACACCCCTTCCTTGCTCATGCGGATGTAGCCAAGGAAACGGAATCGATTTGTCGGTATGCGCAGACGTATTTTGATGACATCCTGACCTCTCGAAGGCCTGCCCGGGAGACCCCGGCAGACTTAATCGAGGGCAGGGAGATCTGGAATGCCACCAGGACTTCGCTTCATCAGTCAGAAAGATTACTGCTGGATAGACCCTGGTCCCTAGAGGAAATAACTGAAGCAAGGAAGATCCTGGCTAAAGGAAAATACCCAGGGGATGATGGTCTCCCAGTAGAATATTTTGAGGTCGTTTGGCAGTAGATAGCACCGCTTCTCCTTCAGATATACAATGATGTTTTGACAGGGGGACGCCTTACCACGGATATGTCTAGATGTATTATCTCTCTGCTGTATAAGAAAGGGGATACCAAAAACATAAGGAATTACCGGCCAATTTCTCTTCTGAACGTACGTTACAAAATCTTGGCGAAAGCCCTGGCCACTCGTCTTGCTCCTTTTCTCCCACAGTTGGTAGCCACAGACCAGGGTGTTTTTGTAAAAGGGCGTTCCATAATGGATAACATTATGATGGTCATTGAAGAGTTGAAGATAGTTGGGAAGGAAGATAGGGCGGTGGCCATCATGATGCTAGACCTCGAAAAGGCCTACGACAGGGTAAACTGGGTGTTTGTGCAGGCTACACTAGAATTAATGAATTTTTGTCCGAACTTTATCCGCTGGGTAACGACTATGTATTCTTTGTCTACAGCGGCTGTGCTTGTGAATGGAATTCTCTTTGAGGAGTTTAGCCTGACCCGGTCCCTCAGGCAGGGCTGTCCTTTAGCCCCCCTGCTTTTTGTAGTCCAGATGGAGGTAGTTCTAAATGCCATCAGGGCACACCCACAGATCATAGGTCTCACAACCTCACGTTCAGATAACTGCAGGAGCGATCGCGGATAATGTGCTGACAATATGTCAGAACACAAAGGAATCCTTGACTGCTCTGAAAGAAGTCCTAGACCAATACTGCCTGTTGTCGGAAGCCAAGGTCAACTGGGACAAGTCAATCTTTTTTCTTTTTGAGTCCCAAGAGCTACAGGTAAATTTTGGTATGAAAAGGATTCAAGGAAATAGTTCGGATCGTTATCGGATCGTTATCTGGGAATCGGGGTTACATAAGTTATAAAGGGACTTCTGCAAGAGATCCACATGATTTCAATGCGCAAATCAGAGTTCAGACCCCGCCTAAATGGCGTGCTGGCAAACCACTGAAACTTCTATGTGGTGGAACTCCAATAAGGAACCTACGCATAGATCCTCAGGACAGAAAATGGAAGAAAGTGGGTCCTAAGCAGGTATCTTTGCCAACTGCATCTTATACACCAAACTATGGTGTCCAGATTCTCAAACCACGGATGGAATCGGAGGAGCAGATATGGGGTAAACTGCAGGAATTTCTGAACATTGCGGGTAATCCAAAACCCAGTCATCTGCATTCCCTGTGGGAACAGATACAGTTACTACCATCAAGAAAACATGTGAATTTCCTATGGATGATTTCTCGTGGTATTTTTCCCACTACTGTTTGGTTATCGAAAAGAGGGATGGATGTGGAAAGAAGGTGTGTGCAATGCCAGGGGGCGGAAGAAACACCGTGCCACTTGTTATTGGGTTGCCCTGTAGCACAGGATCTGTGGAAGTGGTGGAGGCAGCATTGGAAGAAGCTGACCAATAATGCCATGGAATGGAGCGACGATTGGATCCTGACGGGTTGAACACCGACGAACCTCAAAACACGGAGGGGATGGGGTTATGTTGCTCAGGTGGCAAGGGCTATCCTGCTGAGAGTGCTGTGGTTGGCCAGGAACGCAAAGACCTTCAAACGTGAGGGGACTTCACAAGAAGAGATGCAGATGGAGGTGCGGTTTCAACTCAGAATAGCAGTGCTGGTTGACTGGGCCCGAAGGGTGAAGAATAAGAAACTGGGCAAGAGGAGATATCAGTGGTTTTTGTTAACACGGGGTCTTGGGAACCAGCTGGCAGCTGTCAGCAAGAAGGAGCAACCGGTTCTGGGTCCATGGCTCTTACATGCTCATTCAACCTGAACACTCGGTTGCGAAGTATGTCCGCAGTAGGACGGCAGTGGAAGGGGAATTTAGGCAGGCGGAGGGAGCGTTTCTGGGGGGGGAGTCTGCCGAAACAGGTCGGGTTTCGGGTAGCTCCGGGGTGGTTACTAACTGGCGCTTTAGCCAGAGCAGTAAGAGGGGTAGGAACGGGAGTTAGGGAGTGGAGACTGTAGTGGGGTAAAACTCTGTTGGGTTTTAGTTGGGGGATAATATTGGAACAATAGGGATGGGGGGAAGTCTGCTTTCGGTTTTCCTTTTTCTTGTCGTTTCAGTAGGTACTGTAGAAGAAGTGGTTCTCCTGCATCCTAAGATCAGGTTTAAGCTGAGAGAGAATAGGCCAGGACCTGTTTCGGGGCAGGAAGGGTTTTCCTTTTGTTATTTTCCTATCTTGGTTTTTCCTTTTTTTTGGGGTGACTTCTTTCCGGGAAAATTGTGAGGACCCGGCCTCATTACCTTTTTTCATGAGCAATCAAGTACAATTTCTTCTCGGAAAAAAAAAGAAAAAAAGAAATGGTCCAAAATTTTCCGCTGGGGAACGGGATAGGATAGAAACGAGTTTGTGGGGCAGTTGAGTGACCAAATCCTGCCGTGCACTACTCGTGATCCCACCGTCAGTATTTTACATGTATTACCCGAAAAAATAAGGATATCTTCGTTCCCCTCCTCCTCTCCTTAACACTGGGCATGCCCGTGCAAAGACAGCTTCCCGCCAGAATCTTTTCAATCGGTTGGGGGTGTGGCCAACCCCAAACGAGGTTGGGGTCAGCCTTAGCCCACTGGATAGAAGATTTTCAGCATCTTACTTGCTGTTGTGAAATTATCTCATTGGGTGGAGCCCTCCTTCAATCAGGGAGTATATGGAGGGTGTCAGGATCACTGCTGTCAGAAGTCGAGTTTATTCCAGAAAATGTGGCGGTTACTTTGTTCACTGTTTTTGCAACCACCACCATCAGATCATTTGTGATCTGATGGCTGGGAAGCACACTGCTGCGATTTCCGGTGGGAGGTCTCTGTTTCTTCTTTTTTTTTTGGCCTTTTTCCTGTTTTCTCAGCCCAGAAATTCGTAATGAACTTGTCACACTGGATCGGGCACAATCCTATCCGACTGCTAATGGGACCTCGCCCCTAGTTACCCGCGCCCCCCCCCCCGGAAAAAAAAAAAAGAAAAAAAAGAAACTCAACGTTGCTGGTGGAACTGGGGTGAAGTCCCACCGCCCGAGTTTAGTTTAGAAAACGCAACCGTGTGACACCATTTTGACAATAATAAATTCGAAACAAAAAATAAAAAAACTGAAAAAAAACGCTGGAAACAGCTTTTCTCCTTATTTTTTATTAAGTAACTCGGAGAAATGAAACACGTCTGGCACAGTCGGAGTGAATGTCTCCGTGGAAAAAGGATACTTCCCGTGGTGAGGGGACAGGAGGTCACCATTCGTAAAATGGACAGGGACAACATGGATGGCCCGATGCGTTCATTGCCCAAAGAAAAACGAGAGTTTGATGCGAGAGAGCTAAACACAGCTGTCAGAGTTCCTCCGTTTCAGGGTGTAATGATATCTTAAAAAACAAAAAAAACGAAAGGCACATACGTTGAGAAATGTACCCTACCCTTGGGAGGGTAGTTTTCTCAACGGAAAATGGCTTCCCGAGCAAACCAAAAGGGCCAACGCATACAACAAAACGGATTTCACGTCAAAGAAAAAATCTACAAAATGACCAAATCTAATAGGTTATTCTCCTGTATTTCGGTACCCTTAGATTCTCAACACATCAACGGCAGAGCTCCGTCCCACCATGCCACACGTGATAGAAAGCTTAGCGTTGAGAAAACTCAACTTCGGCGGCGGGACTTCACCCCTGATCCGAACCTGTCTTTTTTTAATGTCTTTTTTTTAATGTCTTTTTTTTTTTTATGTCTTTTTCTTTATGTCTTTTGACCATTTCTCGCCACACCTTTCTCGAAATGTTAGACAGACAAAAATGTGGCGGGTGCATCTGGCCATGTTTTAGCGGGATGTTCATTCCCATTTTGCACATTTCGAGAGAGGTGTGGCGGGTGCATCTGGCCATCATGTTGTAACGGGATGTTCATTCCCATTTTGCACATTTCGAGAGAGGCGTGGCCATGCCCTTGCGCATTTAATCCTTGCCAAGGAGCCAATGCAAGCCAAGGTTCTCCGTGCGATCATGGCCGCTGCCATTCATTCTCCGTACTTTCCATGAAGATTCGGACAAATGGCTTTTGTCTTCACAAAAGAATTCGCGTCCTGGATTCTTGAAAATCCGCTCCTTTTTGAATTGTTCGGAGTTGCAGGCCTTGTAGGCAGGTTCTTTTATAGGGTCGTGGAAATTTCAGAGCAGCGGTCCAGATTTGACCATTTCTGCTCTTGGATATATGATTCCCGACACCAATTCTGAGCTGGGCTGTGCCCCCAGTAATTTTCCGGGTTGAGTTGTTTGAGGAATTCCCGACCTCTTTTGTTTGAACTCTGATATAATGAATGAAGCCCTCAGGGCCCCTTCTTTTTAAAAAAGAAAATCCGCTCCTGCCATATGGCTGCAATGGCCACTTTGCGACATAGCCCCAAGTTCCCCAACCCTTGTGTAGACTCACATTGTCTCGGCGCACGGCCCCCAAGAGCATCCACCACTTATCCCATAGAAAAGCGGTCTTTGTGATCTGCTCCCATGTTTGTCTTATCCAATCCCAGATCCCTGCAGATGGGGCCCAGTCTCATCAAAGGTGCACCGTGGACCATTCAAATGCCCAAACTGCATCTAGGACACGACGACACGTCGTATCCACTTTCACTCCACGTTCTACCAATCAGAATGATTCTTGGGTGTCATTTTGCGTCCTTTAAATAAGGCGTTAATTGCAGAAATAGCGTGTTAAAAAGAAAAAAGAAAAAAAAAAAAAGAGCGTGTTTCCGAGTGGAGACGTTGTCAGGGTCCGAGAGATGTATTTTTGCAACAAACGTGGGTACCCCGCCTTCAAATAATTTTGCTGTGAAACAACGAAAGATGATTTTTTTGAAACGACACTCAGGCCCCACCACTGTTTTTGCTGTGAAACTGCCGCAAACGCGAACGGGAACACGCTATTTTTTAAACTCATCCGCACCCTTTAAATAGGACTGCTCGGTATACTTGTCATTGTGAAAGAGATCCCTCCATCTGAGATTCGGCATTCTACGCACGCCCCCAGGACTCGTCCGTCCATCCCCCCTGACCTGATTCTCGTCATGCATTTGCCTCATCAGTTGTGGTGAATAGATTAAAACTTACAAGTCCTTTGGATTAACTTCGGACGAAAAAATATTTAAATTCGCAATTTTGGAAAAGTAATATCCCTCAGGAATTTTGGCAATAATATGCCCTTGGGGGATAAGTCACTTTTTTGTTCATTCTTTCTTTTTCTGCCACTTGTGGCTGGAGGGAGTTTCCTATTGCAAACATGATAACTTCTAAACGATTTTTATTTGAAACAGAAAAAAACTCTAAAGGCAATTCTCGGTCTCTTTGTCGACAGAATGGCACACACACATGCCTGTTAATAAGAGCAGATCATGAGCTCAAGTCCTGATGGGATTCACCAACGTTAGGGTCTACGCCTTTTGCAAGAAACTGAAAAGACCGCCCTCGCCGCCCCCCCCCCCCCCCCCCCCCCCCCCCCCCCCTCTCTCTCTCTCTCTCTCTCTCTCTCTCTCTCTCTCTCTCTCTCTCTCTCTCTCTCTCTCTCTCTTTTTTTTGTGTGTGGCTCCGTGGGCTTCGTAGGGCCCGTTGGTGATGTTCACAGTGACCCGTTGCTGATGTCCACCTGTCTCTTATACACATCTAGATGTGTATAAGAGACAGGACACACACACACACACACACACACACACACACACACACACAGAGAGAAAAGTTATAGTCATGTGAGACTTTTGTTAGCTTATACACTGGCCGTAGACAAGCAGGTGTCTTTTCCAAGGACGGAGTTTCACCCTTTTTTAACCGAGTTAGTGCATTCTCGCACCTGAACTGTTTTGACTGCATGCAGACGCAGTTGCGGCCGGATACGTTCAGGAAAGTCTAACTCTCAGTCCGTCCCTCCAGGACTCCAAACGATTACGCACGGCACATTGGTTTTTCCTACCATCCTTCCTTCCTTCCTTCCTTCCTTCCTTCCTTCCTTCCTTCCTTCTAAGCGTAGTGCTTATAAAACGGCCTGCTCTTCGTGGCTTCCCGCTGTACTACAGGCCTTGGCGGTTATGCCATTGGCATCGTCGCGTGCGTCTCTCTTTCTTTGGCCTCTTACTCACTATCCGGCTATGCCCTTTTGGCTTCCCTCTTCTTTAGGAGCGGTTGCTTATTCTGTCCAACTTCGACTATCGAGCGGGAGCACCGACTACTGCCACGTGCACCCTGGTGGAGCCATGCGCTGCCAGCTTGGATCAGCGGCAGGCACCTGCGCCAATGAGTCGTGCACGAGCAGTGTGAGAGCCCCTGCAGCTGTCAAATCTGGTTGGCTCTTCCTCTGAGCTGGAACTCGCGACGCTGCAACGGCTCGTGAGCATCTGGAAGTAGCCAGAGAGAGATCGAAGTAATGAGAGGGAGCGCCCTCTCTCTCAGGAATGAGGTAGTTCGTTCATGGCTGATGGCTTCTTATTACTAGAGTTTCCAAGACTACGTCTTCTTTTTTTTGTGTGTGTGTGTGTGAAAATGTAATTTCGGCTGATTGCTTAGCTGGCAGTTAGCTCTGCGTTCGCACTTATGATCTCACCCTCTTTCGCAAACCGGGAGAAAGCTCACTTCAGGGAATCACACGAGGGGGTGACACGAGGCAGTGGCACGTGGCGGCGATAAGTGGCGTCTCTTGCGCACCTGCTAGCTGCATCTCCTCCGCTTCTCGCATCTGATCTGGACGGATGCCTGTTCTATAATTGTCTGCCACTGCACGTAGATCGACGAGGTCGAGAGACTGACGAAAGACAGGCATCTGTCCTTTTCTTGTGTCGTTCTCCGTCTTTTTTCCCCCATTGCTGCAACCAGTAGGCTAGGAATGATGAGGACGATAGTGATGGTGGTGGCTATGGTGATCTTTCTCTGCGGCAGAAGCAGGGACGGCCCCGTGTCACTTGTGTCCGCTGAACCCCTCGGAACGCCAAATCTCCGCAACTGCACTCCGAGCGGCCATGAATGCTGCCTTCGGTCTTCCACCCCGTCCCCTTTCATCAAGTCGAACTTTTCCACCCCGCGCATACGCCCCGCACTCCAGACCGTCCTCCAAAATGCAACGTACCTCGCCAAACTCAATGCTGCATACGCCGAGCTTCGCAGACTAGAGCGCGACGCTCCCAACGACCCTCGAGGTCTCGGACACCAGCGCAGACTTCACTGCGCCTTTTGTTCTAACCCATCGCTCTATGGCAACAAATACAAGGTGCACGGCAGCTGGTTCTTCCTTCCCTGGCACCGAATGCTCCTTTACTACCACGAGCGTATTCTTGCCTCGGTGATAAACGATACCTCTTTTGCCCTTCCCTTTTGGAATTGGGACAACGATACTCACAAGGCCTTCCCCGCTCCCTATGCCAACACCAACTCCGCTCTCTACGCAGCAGGTCGAAATGCAGCACGTGACATCCTAGCCGGTCTTCAAAGGAACATCCCAGCAGACCGATTCTTCGATACTTTCGCCGACGTGACGGACTTGGATCAGCTTATGGGGACGGCGAGTAGCAATGGAAATTTTGAGACTACTGGACATAATGGAGTCCACAGTTTCGTTGGAGGGGACATGAATGATCTAGCCCGGGCGGCTTACGATCCTGTGTTCTATGCTCATCATGCCAACGTGGACAGGATGTGGTCCGTGTGGAGGCAGTTGCGGGGCAGAGGTGATCCCAAGTCACCGGATTTTCTCAACTCAAGTTTCGTCTTTTACGACGAGAACCGCATCGCAAGGATCATCAACGTGTCAGACGTCCTCGATCACAGGACCAATCTAAGGTATGTCTATGCGGATGTGCCCAACAGTTGGACCACGTCGCGAATTCCGGCCAGTCGTACAGTTGCACGCAATGACGTGCCGGGAGGGCCGCCGCTGAGAGTTCCTCAAACTTTCCGAGCCCCGGCGACTGTCTCCGCTGAGGACCCCAACGTCGCTACTGCATTCATGCAGTCTCCCGACACTACTCCCCGGCGTGGGGCGATACCGGAACTGACCCTGCGCAACGTTGCTCACAAAGGGGAGGAGCCCTTGGCGCTATACGTGTTCATCAACCAGCCTAATGCCGGCGCTAACACTCAAAGGGCGGGCAATCCCAGATATCTCGGAGCTCGTTTCCTCGTGGCGGGAGGCATGAGTATGCCAGTCTCCTTCACATACCCAATCCGCATATGTCTAGAAGTTCTCAATCTGTCGTTGAGCAGGAATTTCACCGTTCAGGTGGTGCGAGGAGAGGAAGTTGGGCTGCGGAGGCCGGCGTTGTCTATCCAGTCCATAGATTACGTCCATGAGCCACAGGCGTAGAGGCTGCTTCATACCTCCTCCGAAAAACAAGATGACTCTCTCTCTCTCTCTCTCTCTCTCTCTCTCTCTCTCTCTCTCTCTCTCTCTCTCTCTCTCTCTCTTTTCATCCTTAGGAGAGTTTGCTGCGAGCGAAAATTTACAGTTTTCGTTGTAGTCGTTCTACTCATCCTCACGGTGTCGGCCTTAGGAAACGTACGGGCCACGATTTTAGGAAACGTATGGGCCACTACAGGAGCGGCCAAATTCATCCCACCAGAAACGTTCTACTCTATTTTTTCCCCCGGCCTATAGCTGGGCCAAGTACTGGTGTTCTAAGCTGAAAAGGACGTACAGACATTCTATTCTACTTACCTCTGAAAAAATGATTTCCAGAAAGCGCCGATTTTTTTTCAAAAAGAAGGTACGGTGGAATGTATTCAAATGTTGTTTCGAATTTTTGGCCATTTTCGATATTTCGATTTTTAATTTAAAAAATCCGAAAAAAAACACAAACTGTACAGGATTGCAATACAAACAACTCTTACCTGATGCTCATTTCCAAATTCACAACCAAATTCGAGAGAGAGAAAAAAGAACGAGAATAAAAATATTATTTGAGGGCAGGGAAATATATCTATATATATATATCGTCACAAACAGAACTGCCCGGTAAACCGTAGGCAGAGAGAGAGAAGAGGACAACAAACGAGGGGCCGTGACAAACTGTTTCGTCGGAGTTTCACCGACTCATCTATATATATATATATTGTCAAACAGAGCTGCCCGGTAAAGCGTAGGCAGAGAGGGACAAAAGGGAGAAGAGGACAACAAACGAGGGGCTGTGGCAAACTGTTTACTTTATTTTTTTGTTTTAGCAATAATACGAGGCGGTTCTCTAAAAAAGATAGCAAAGAAAATAATTCCAAGGGTACCTACTAAAATAATTTAAAGAAATGTTTAAATTAAAGCTTCCATAAATCTCGGATTACTGGAAATTTTTGGATTTCTTCTAGCAAGCCTTTTTCTATGAATCTATGAAAACTTTCTACCTGAATTCTTATAAAATCAGGCAGTATTATATAGATAGATAGATAGATAGATAGATAGATCGATAGATAGATAGATAGATTTTATTGGTCTTGGACCCTTTATCAATTTTTGCATGTCAGCCTTGCGCAGGGGCCATGTCAACTTCTGCATGTTTTTTTTCAACAGGGGGCTTGGCCGCGCGGCGCCTCTGAGTTTTGCTTGTGGCGGCAAAAACTTTCTGCAAGGCTGGGGCCGGCCGGTTTAAATGTAACCTTAACAGGATACGCGCTTCACAATGTACTGTGCATATTTCCTAGAAAGGGTCCAAATGCAGCTGCTGGTTCCTTAGATGAGGTTGAAACACATTCAAGGCTTCTGAGGTTGTTCTCTGGACCGCATTCTGCTGCAATTTTAGAGAATGTGTTCGATTTTAGAGAATGTGTTCGTCGCTGTTGCATTCCCACCTTTTTGGGAGGTGGAGGGGGGGAACTACACGCCGAAGTCACAAAAATGAGTTATAATTGCAGTATGGGCGAAAAGATACAGTTTGCAATTGCAGTTCGGGCAACGTATACAACCCAGCTTTCTGGCCAGGTTGTGTGGCCCAACTGCAATTGCAAACTGTTTCTTGGCGCCTAGTGCAATTATAACCTATTTAACCCCAGCGACCCTGGTGAGGGCGGTCATGACTGCAGCCAGACCGTGGTGAGGGCGGTCATGACTGCAGCCAGGCCGCGGGGCCGCGGTCATGCCGCAGTCGCGGTTGGGGTTGGCCCGCTGGGGCCCAAGGGAGGGGTGTCCTGCCAATCAGGGTCAGGATTCCGGCCGTGGGACCCGGGCCCCACCCCCCCATAATGAAAAAAAAAATAAAAAAATGGGGGGCGTCCAAATAGGGGGTCCCGGTTTTCAGAGGGTGGAGAAGAAAATCATGGTCCATGGACGCACCCTTTCTTTTTTTTTTTTTACTTTTCATTTATTCTACGATTTCTATCTGTTGAAAAACCTGCTGTTTTGATTTTTTACTTAAAAAAAAGCAATGATTGATTGATTGGTTGATTGGTTGATTGGTTTATTGGTTGAAACTTTTTTTGGGATTGATTGATTGATTGATTGATTGATTGATTGGTTGATTGGTTGATTGGTTGATTGGTTGATTTTTGATAGATTGATTGATGGATTCATAGCAAAAATATTGCTCCTTCCAAGTTTGGGGGCAAAAATGTCTTCCGCTCAAAGTTTCCTTTGCAAAAATAGAGGTTTCTTTGCTGCTTTATCGGGCTCCCATAGTTTGCCAGCAAAAGTACCGCGTTTTGCCCAGTTTCACAGCGAAGGACCCCTACAGTCTTCCCCCGAATACAACGTACGGTCATTATAGCTGAATTTGGTGCATCTTTCAGTCCAAATTCAGCTATAATGACCGTACGTTGTATTAGGGGGAAGACTGTAGGCCTCTGGCCTCAGGGACTCCGTGTTCTGGCCTTAGGCACTCAGCGTTGTTTTTTTTTTTTCCCGGACCGATGCATCTGGGCGCAGGTAGGAATGAGACGGTAAACCAAACGAGAACGAGCAGCCGAAATCAGATTACACACAGAGAGAGAGAGAGAGAGAGAGAGAGAGAGGAGAGAGAGAGTGAAGACAGAAGAGCAAAAAATGTTTCGTATAATATAAAGATGAAGCACAAAGTTGGCTATCATCCCGACATATGTTTCAGCCCCCTCGCCGTACGAGCCATCTGGGTGCCCACGGCCGAGATGCCTCGGCCACAGCCGCAAAAAAAAAAACAAAAAAAAAACAAGAAACGTGGCTGACGCATCTCGGGCGTGGACACGGACGCATCTCGGGCGTGGCCACGGCCGAGATGCCTCGACCATGCCCGTGGAGGGAAAAAAAAAGAAGAAGAAGAAGAAGAAGAAGAAGAAGAGACAGAAAAGCTAAGTGCCTGAGGTCGGAACGCTGAGGAGTCCCTAAGGCCAGGGGCCTGGGGATCCTTTGCTGTGAAACTTGGCGAAACGCTGTATTTTTATTTTTGCTGGCAAACTACGGAAACCCGATAAAGCGGCAACGAAACATCTATTTTTGCAAAGGGAACTTCGAGCGGACGACATTTTTGCTGCCAAACTTCGAAATAGCAATATTTTTGAAATTAACCCTTGATTGATTGATTTGGGGGGAAGGGGTCGCCGCCGGGGCACATACACACACACACCCTGTTTATGTTTTTTTTTACTTTTTGGTTTTTTTAATTTATTGATTGGTGGGAAAGGGGTCGCCCTTCCCCCTCGCACACACACACACACACACGCGCAGGTCGAACCCAACCAGCTGTTTTTTTTGGTTTTTTTTTTTTTTCATTGATTGATTGATTGGTTGGTGGAAAGGGGTCTCCCTTGGCACAGGCACACACACACACACACACAAACACACACACACACACACACACACGGGTAGAACCGGCTGTTTCTCTCTCTCTCTCTCTCTCTCTCTCTCTCTCTCTCTCTCTCTCTCTCTCTCTCTCTCTCTCTCTCTTCCTCTCTCTCTCTCTCTCTCTCGCCCCCCGACCCCCTCAAGGCGCGCTTACTCCCCCCCCCACCATCGCAGTCCCCTCGTCTCCGTGCACAACGGACCTTCATTTCTGCTGAACCCGGCAGAAAAGATTGCTTGCATTACACTAGTTATGGTGTGTTGCGTACAGGGGAGGACGGGCTACAGACGGGCTCACCTTCTCGTCTGTGCGCAACAGCCAATGTGATTGGACGTTTCTTGTTTTGTTTTTTTTTAACCGAGGCCCCATCTATTGTGGGGGGCAACAGTCCGGTTGCTTATCACCGGGAAGCATGAGGGAACAGGAGGGGGGGGAAGAGAAAAGTAGGGGAAAGACCTTACCCGTGTGGCACGAGACGTCAACAAGGGGGAAATGCTAGAGCCACCCCCTCCTCCCACCCCCAGTGTCCCCCACACCCCCAGCGGCTCCTCTTGTCAGTCGGGAAACACTCAGGGGTACCCAAGACACTGACCAAGGGGGGCAACTGGGGGGGAGAGCACACAGGGGGCGGCGCTAGTAGTCTCCTGAGTCCATATGTCTGTCGCAGTTCCAATCAGTTGAGTTCATGAGCGGTGCATGCTCCATCGCAATCTCTACTTCAACTATTCTTCAAAGAACTTCAACCTATATCATCCTATGGGATCGTGTGTGTGTGAGAGAGAGTGTGAGAGTGCGTGTGTCCGTGTGTGTGTGTGTGTGTGTGTGTGTGTGCTCGCGCGCGCGCGTGTGTGTGTGTGTGTGTGTGAGAGAGAGAGAGAGAGAGAGAGAGAGAGAGAGAGAGAGAGAGAGAGAGATACGAACCTTTCGAATTTTCGAAAATTATTTCTCCCCTGGCTGTTACGCTCATTTTTGGACGAATCTGGCCACATGATGGGCCCACATCTATGCGCTACATTCAGTCGAACAGAACTGAATGTAACGCAGCGCGGCCCGCACAGAGACACACAGAGAGAGAGAGAGAGAGAGAGAGAGAGAGAGAGAGAGAGAGAGCTCAGGGTCCATGCTATGCTTCCAACCTCTTGAATCTTGAATCCCGGCTGCCAAGTTCATTTTGGGACGAATCTGTCCACATCTATGCGTTACATTCAGTCGAACTGAATAACGCAAACTACATAGCG